ATTATAATGGAATTTGTGTGTGAGACATTTTTTCTTTCTATCTGAGATGTCCCAATTTACTTCAAATATTCCTTCTTCACTTATAATATCTGATCTTTTGAATACGTTCTTATTTGAAATTTCAAAAAGGACGTTTTTCTTGGACTAGTAATAGCTTCCATATTTTTCTCACATCTATTTCCTTCAGTTCTCTTCCTCAAGCAATCTGTTACTTTTCTTAATGTCTTTCCAGATATATTTCATGCATATATAAACATTATATTTGTGTGTATATATGTGTGTAGTTTTCTCCCCTTAAAAATTTATAAGTGGTAACCTAGCATATCCTACCTATTCTGCATCTTACTTCCTCTTGTGCTACATCTTAGAGATATTTTATGTCAGTGTATGCGATGAGTCCAGGACTCAAGAGGTGGAAAATTGAGTGGCATTACCCACTATTACTCCAGTTACTCACTAGCAAAACTTTTGCTTCTTTTTTTTTTTTTAGTTGTTTCAATCTATTTGTGGAGGGCACATCTCAGTGGCCCATGTGGCAATTGAACTGGCAACCTTGGTGTTATGAGCACTGCGCTCTAACCAACTGAGCTAACCGGCTGCCCCCAAAACTTTTGCTTCTTGTTCCCACAAACTTATGCTCTGCTGGCTTAGACACCTGAGTTCCAAAGGGAGGTGTGCTTCCACCAAGAGGCACAACATTGGTTTCATTGCACTGGCAGGTAAGGCCAAACCACTTTGAGCTCCTCATGCCTCTGAATTAACAGGCAAAGAAGGGAGTTACTGTGCTGGGTAGGGTGATTGATCCTGACTACCAAGGGAAAATTGAACTACTAGACTACAATGGCAGTAAGGAAGAGTATGTCTGGAATACGGAAGGTCCCTTAAGACATCTCTTAGTCACCATGCCCTGTGATTAAGGTCAATGGAAAACTACAACAACCTGGGCCGACTAAGTGGTGCGATGGTTAAGAGCTGGCTTGGGATGCCAGAGGGCCCCGGTTCGGATCCCACATATGAGGGCCAGTGACGCTGCCCTCCACAGCCAACTTGGGCCAGTGAAGCAACGTCCTCCACAACTAGACTGAAGAACAAAAGGACAGCAACTTGTCTGTTTCCCTTCCCCCAATTCCCCAGCTCTGTCCCCATCCCCCTAAATCCCCCTCCAAAAACCCCCCAAAAAATCCCAAACTACAACAACCTAATCCAGGCAGGACTACTAATGGCAGAGAGCCTTCAGGAATGAAGGCTTGAGTCATTCCACCAGGTAAAGAACCACGACCAGCTGAGGTGCTTGTTGAAGGCAAAGAGCATACAAAAAGAGTAGTAGAAGAAGGTAGTTATAAATACCAGCTATGAACACATGACCAATTAGAGAAATGCAGGCTATAACTGTCACAAGCCTTTCCTCCTTGTTTTGTTATGAATATGTGTGTGTGTGTGTGTGTGTGTGTGTGTGGCAAACATCAGTTTCTTCTCTCTCTTAGTCCCTTATCATGTAACATAAGATGTACTGACTTTATATCATGTATCATGGTATTTAAGTATTGTTAGTTTTACATTATAATATTTAAGTTACAGGATATCAGGGAGAAGAGTAAACATCACTCAAAGACTTGACTTCCTCTTCTGGGGAAGGGGTTAGTGCCTTTTTTGTTATACACAGGACAGTTATATCATGTTAGGTAGAATTATAGCTCCTTTATTATCTTCATTTGGAGAGTAAGTATGGTTTAAGGAGATGCATATGGATGCCAAGTTGACAAGGGGTAGACTTGTGATGTTTAGTTTTATGTGTCAACTTGACTGGGCCATGGGGTGTCCAGATGTTTAGTTAAACATCATCTGGGTGTTTCTGTGAGGGTGTTTCCAGAGGAGACTAGGTAGACTAAGTAAAGCAGATTGCTCTCCCCAGTATGAAGGGCCTCATCCAATAGGTTGAAGGCCCAAATAGAACAAAAGGATGAAGTAAAATGAAGGCGAAGTAAGAATTTGCTCTTTCTACCTATCTTCAAGCTAGGACATAGGTCTCCTACCTTCAAACTCAGATGTGGAGTGGAACTTACACCATCAGCTCTTCTGATGCTCAGGCCTTTGGACTTGGATGGGAACTATCATTGGCTCAGCTGGCTGACTGTAGATCTTAGGACTTCTCAGCCTCTATAATCATGTGAGTCAATTCCTTATAATAAATCTCTGTATATTGGTTCTGTTTCTCTGGAGAACAAAGACTAATACAGCGTACAGAGAAATCTCCTTAATTCTTTCCAATAATCAGATTGTATCCCTAATGATGAAAGTGCCATAATTTAATCATCTTCATTGATACCCCATTTGGCTCCTCCCAGTGTTTTTCTAGTTTCACCAGTGTATCAATAAATATCTCAAATATCTCTACATACATCTCTTTGTGCTACTACCCCTAAAGACCAAGGAATGTGATTTATGACTCTTAAAGGTGACAAATACATATTTGTTCTGTTTTCTATGATATCATATACCTTAGAATGCAATTTCCCAATAGGAACACTCTGTAATGTGTATGTTCTGTACAGTGTCAGGCATGTCGTGGCTCCTTAATACCTATTTTAAAACAACAATAATTTTTAGAATAGCCAGTCAATTCATATAACATAACTAGCTAAATACCAGTAGGGACATTCTCTTTAAGTGGGTCTCTTGAACAGCATAAGCAGAGAGAGTGCTTTCCACAAGCCAAAGGATGTTGGCTATTCTTTACAGGAAAGCCAAATGAGTCTCCTCGGGCCTCTTCTTGTAACAAATACCCACTAGAATTATGATTTTGGAGTCATTTCCATTGCAAATCCCCTCTTTCCACACCCCTTTTAAAAGGCAGCTGTGAGATTTGGCTGCTGACCAAGGCCTGCTGCACCAACAATTCTCTAAATTTTATTTATATTTCATGTGCAGTATGTTCAAACTCTCCCTCTCCCAGGTGCCAGATGCTGGTTTGGACACACTCCAGTGGGAAGTGCTTTCCTGTAAAATAATAAAAGTAAAATGCTGAACAAACCTCCTCTTTATATCAGGCTTGCACTTAGTTTACCAGAGTTAAGTACTCTAATAATGACTTCACTATTTTCCCAAATTTACAGTCCCCCAAATGCCCTCTTCGCTTACCTCCAACACCAAACTGTCCTTTGGCTTCCATAGGACATAAAAAGCTTATAGTCCTTTCACGTTTCATCAGTGTTCATTTGACAATGTCAGCGTCTAGGAATCTATCTGTCTCATATGCTTTTGATGGTGCCTGATATAACCCATATTTATAAGCCGTATTTCAAGTATGGTTTGGATGAGAAGATAAAGCATTAGCCCATTTATAGGATTTTAAAAACTATCTAATAAGTTAATATCTGTCAATAGCTTTAACATGTTTTCACCAAAAAGTGATGCTTTCTGTGGTTTAGAATGATACTGTCCCTGCAGTGGCACAGAATTTTGGCATGACACTCTGAAAATTAACTCAGAATTTGCCTTTGTAATAGGGTTCTTGCCTGCTTAAAGGCAGTCCTGGGTCCAAAGATACCTACTTGTGAAATGAGCTGCATTGGATGGATACTAAGAAAGTGGATATAATTTTTAGAGATTTGCCAATCCACTCTTGGCTTCCACCTCCTCTACCTCTCTCACAGGCTTATGTGGTTAACATTTCACTGAGCTGAAAACCAGTACAATTCCTTGTTCCACCCTAGAAAAATTGAGAACCTTAGGCATAAAAATTTGTTTGTGCCAAAAGCTTGTGGCTATATTCTGAGGTTTAAGTGAACTCTGTAAAACGTGCTATGATTTTTGTGTGTGTGTTTGTGTGTGTGTAAAGCCGCTATAAAATAACAAAAATTTCTGCTTGGCTGCCAACTATCTCTTTTCCAATATTCAGCTCTGATAGATCTCATTTTCTTTTTCACTTTTTCCGTTAGATGGCGGTAGATGCCCAAGAAATAACTTCCGAAAGGCTGGTGGCAGGCGGTGAGAGGGGCGTTTATTCCTTTCACCGGGTTGTGGGTAACTAAGCTGACACGCACTGAAAGTTGTGGATTGCGGGTGGGCATGGTATACATTTTATTTTTTCGTGTGTGTGTGGGAGGCCGACTTGCCACAGACCACCTGTTGAATCTAGGTTCTCTCTAAGCATAGGATAGCATCTTGCCAGCTGTCAAAAAATATCCCTAGAATTTTTTTCAACTATCAACAGACCTAAGCTATGGAACCCATTCAGGAGAGCAGGCATCATTGATTTAAAGCTGCTGCTGCATCTGCTGAATACATTTGTGGAGATGGAAGAGAGCCACTTGCGAGTGGGGAACAGCCACTGCGACTTGTGGACTGAAATCCCACTGTGTGATCTGCGATCAACCCACAAGTATCTATGGATTCCCTCACGAGTGCCTAGCACCAGATCAGAAACTACACAGGAAATATGAGGTCGCGTTTTCCAGTCCTCTCCTAGTAGAAAACACAAAACACATACAGAGAGAAATAAGTGCCCAGCAAGACCTAGGCTGAGAAAATAATATTTGTGTGGGGAAGATGGTAAGTCCTATCAGCATTAGGAGAGGTCAGTTGGGGGTACGACATGGCGAAGGGCTAGGCTTTGTGTAGGGAGAGAGGAGGTGGGGAACAAGACGGGGTAAGAGAACTCGGGTCGGGGGACCGTGGGAATCTTTGGAAAAATCCGGACAGAATCGAGAATTTGGGAGGGGAAAGGAAACGGAGGGAGAGGTGAGGCCAAGTTCCCAGCCTCGGAAAGGTCGGCTCAGCGGACCCTTCTCTTTTCTTCACTTGGGCCCCGGGCATTCCCGTCGGAGTGGAGCATTTCCAGTCAGCTTCCTCGCCAAGTCTGTCTCCCAGGCACTTTAGCCGTTGCTGTGGACAGTACCGGGCCCGACCGTGCGGCCCGGGACAGCTAAGGAGGGGGCGTGGCGAGGGCGGGCATAGGGGGCGTGGCGTGGGCGGGCACAGGTGGGCGGGGCTCTCCTCTCGCCGCCGCCGCAGCAGCTGCCGCCTCCGCCCGCCGCGCGAACTGAGGGAGCGGGGTCGCCGCCGCCTGCACGCCCGCGTGCCGGGGCTGCGGTGGGCCAGGATGTCGGGCTTCCTGGAGGAGCTGCTTGGGGAGAAGCTGGTGACGGGCGGCGGCGAGGAGGTGGACGTGCACTCGCTGGGCGCCCGCGGCATCTCGCTGCTGGGGCTCTACTTCGGCTGCAGCCTGAGCGCCCCCTGCGCTCAGCTCAGCGCCAGCCTGGCCGCCTTCTACGGCCGCCTGCGGGGGGACGCGGCGAGCGCCCGGCTCAGGGGCTTGTGAGAAAAGAACAAAGATGCAGGCCGGGGCCGGGCCGGGGCCGGGCCGGGGGGGCCCCGTGAACCCCGCCTTCGAAGGCGTCCAGGAAGAACCCGCCGCGGCGTCTGGCGAGAGGGCGCAGCCGGCGGGCACGTGCGCGGGGCGCAGCTCGGCGTGCGGACCCCGGCCCTGCGCCCCTGTCGGGAGGAGGGGCGGGAAGGACGCGGGGTCCTGCCAGGTGGCACCCCCGTTCACCCGGTGTGGCCGAGCCCCGCGCCCAAGACCGTTCCTCCTTCCCCTCCTCCCCGAGCGTTTCATAGTCAGGCCTCGTGTCTTCAAACTCCAAAGCGTGTTTTCCTCGCNCGGAGCCGGAGCCGCGGCGCCGCCTGGAGATCGTCTTCGTGTCCTCGGACCAGGACCAGAGGCAGTGGCAGGACTTCGTGCGGGACATGCCGTGGCTGGCGCTGCCCTACAAGGAGAAGCACAGGAAGGTGAGCGGCGCGGGCCTCGTCGCTTCCCCCGGCCTGGGTGCGCACCCCAAGCGTTCCCGGGAGCCAGGTCCTCGCCGCCCCCCGCCCGCCCCCAACCCTGCTAACCCCTGTCCCTTCCTCCATCTTTGCACGCGCTTCCCCTCCTGTCCCTCAGTGTCCCCTTTCTCTGTCTGTGCCCGCTCCCCATCTCGGGACCCCGCCGGGTTGGGGCTTCGGCGGCGACTCCTCCGTGCCTGTGCCAGGCCGCGCTGGCGGGGGAAGTTTGACACCCCTCTGTCCCCGACCCCGGCTTGTGTCTTGAGGAGTCGAGAGCTTGGTCCCCACAAGTTGGGAGCCTCGCATAGAGGGTGGCTGCGCTCTGGGGTCCGGACTCCGTAACCCCTACCGCGGGCCGGAGATGCGGGGAGGGGCCGCTTCCTTCCCTCTGCCACTGGACTCCCCGCGATACCTGTAGTGGGTGGGGGAGGGCGCTAGCCCCCTACCCATAATGCCCAAACCAGGAAGTTTCCTTTCTTTGGGAGAGAAATCTGCTTTCCTGGGGCCCTCTCCCGGGACGCGGAGGCCGAAGTCAGACCTCCCTGCGCCCCAGGGAGGCGGCAGCTGACCGTGGCTTTGGGCGAGAAGGGAACTCCATCCTCTCCCCTTGTCCCTCTCTCCGCCCCCACCCCCCCTCCCGCCCGCTGGCTGAACGAGCCACCCTGGAGCTTTTCATTGTCTGACTGTCCATCCATCCTCCCCAGATGCCTCCCAGGCACAGCCACAGACAGGTCCTTGCGATTAGTTGCTTGGTTGGTGGGCCACTGTCGTCTTGGCATACTTCGAATTCAGTGCTGAACTGATCCCATAGGTGCAGATTGACCGGAAGAACGAGGATTTGGGGGAAATTTATACTTCACTGTCAACTTCTCATTCCTCCCAGTTCGCTGCTGAAGTTAGTTTGGGATTTGAGTGTATCTGTTGGGTGAAGATGGCTTTTAATTTAAAAAACGAATCCAGAAAATCGTGTCATGAATCGAAACAGAAAAAGTTTTGGGGCGCTCTTGGTTCATTAGTATGCCTGATGCAAGGTGCGAATGCAGCCTCTTCCCTTTCTGAGGAGAATCTCAGTTTATGGATGGGAGAAGGGCTGTTCTGGGGGCCTTTAGGTTCCTCTAGAGAGGATGGTAACGGCTTGCCATGTGTTTCTTTTATGTGTACAGAACCTTGTTGAGAAGCATGATTTAGATTTAGTGAGAGCAAAAGGCTTATACTGTGACCCCAAATGTCTTGAGTAAATCATCCACCCTGAAGCAGTGTCAGGTACAGACATGGGATTTAAAGTATGAAATACAGTTTAACAAATGCAGTTTCTACATTTAATACTGGAAAAACATGGGCTCACTAACCACATGGAGGCAAAACTTGGCATTTTAACCACTTTTTAGGTGATTTTGCCCATATTTGATTGATAGGTTTGATCGTGCATGGCCCGGTCCTTCTTTGCTTTAAAAAATGGGAATCCTTTGTTTTCCTTAGTGGTTGTTTTTATGGTCCTCTTGGGGAGGGATAATGTTCACAAAGTGATTTACCAAAAACGTTATTTTCATTGTCATGACAAGTTTCTATTGTAGACCAATGTAAAATAATGCCCTTATTGGGTAATACCAAGATTTCTAGCTTTTGCAAATGTGCAGTGATGGTAAAACGTGACAGACCTAAGGCTTATTTTTGTGTTTTTCACAGCGGGGGAAATTTTTTGCTAGATAGTAAAAATATGGAGCAAATTGAAATGTTCTGCAAGAGCATAAAGCTTTTTCTGAAAAAAGGAGACTATTGGATATGACATAGGCCATGCCTGGCTCTCTGTGCCCTGGCCAGGCCCTTTGGTATGAAAGAAGTGGTCTGTGGCTCTAGCCTGGACCTGCTAATTCCACCAGAATGAGAGTGGATGACACAGGGCAGACGCTCATCTGAAAATACAGTTTAGAATGCTGCACATGCCTAAACCGTGGTGTGTTAGCATTTAAAACTTTTATTTTTTGCTCAGAGTTTTTCTGACTCACATCTTTATAGTTCACTTTGTTCTCTAAAGTGAGCCCAGTTTTGAGGACATATCGTTTCTGCTCTTGGATGTTCGTGAATAGAATAGGCAAGTCAAGCTCTGATGCCAGAAACATTCTTACTCAAAGGTGATACAACTAGGTAAAAAGACTCCAGCTGTGTTTCTTATGGAAAACACACTCTTGGAAATGACAAAAGCTGTGTACTCACTTTGAAAGGAATGATTTTCCCCCTTTAAGCCAAAGAGATGTAGAACAAATTCCTGTTCTGTAATTTTGAGTTTTTGTCTATGTTGTTTGAAATTGGGGTGCTTAGACGTCTGTGAGCTTTTGATGCCAATTCCATGATAAGGACAGTGGAAAGCGACCCCAGTTCAGGGTGCTGGGTGGGTAGACACTTACCTCCTTGTTGATGGACTCTGTCTGTGTTTCACCAACTATAGAAATAGCTTTAAAGAAGAGAATTTTGTTTTACACTGAAGAGAAACCAAAGTTCCAGATTACTAATTTTTTTAACATTCTCATTAACATTTGTTCTTTAAAACCATTCGTATACTTCTTCCCATTGGGATAACAAAGGATATGGTTCTAATTAGTTATTGGCTGGCATTTCTCTAAAGAAAATTGAAAAATTATGGTGGGGGAAGAAAATGCCGTGTGGTATTTCTTTTTTTCTTTTTTTATTAATTTCCCCTTTATGCAGTTAGAAAGTCTTGGGGTGACCATACATGTTAAGCCTGCATTTTGCCTGGCTCCTCTCACCTTGATTGGAGCTGTGAGAAAACAGAAAATAAAAGGATTCCAGTGTCTTTTTAAAAAAAAGTCTTTTTAAAATTGTTTTCCTTTTTGCATTATAAAAGACAATAAAACGTTAACAATGGTTTCTACTTGCTTTAGTGGTAGATGCAAAAGTCACTGAAGCTTCATCTTTTGGCTTCCAAGTGCATACACATAAATAGTTGTCTAGAAATTGTAATTAGGTGATAAAAGAATAGAACTTTGAGTGAATTTATAAGAGCAGTTTTGTGAGGAAGCATAATCCTGAAGTTAAGGTGGTTAGACTTGTTTGAAGAAGCACGTTTGTTTTTTTGTATTGTTGGTAGACATTTTTCAAATTTCTGGGAAGAGAGAATGTAATGTGATAACTAGTTGGAAAGTGGTGAAGATTTGGACTTTTGGGATTTGACCTATCCCTTTTTATTAGTAAAAGTTACTTACCTGACAGAACTGGAGAGTTGATCTCCAGGTTCTGTTTCAGCATCATAGAGGAGGAGAGCACTGGTTTTGCTGTTAAAGCCACAGGACTCAGCTTTGCCTAGGCAGGATGCCTGATGGAAAACATTTGGTCAACGTGGGTGTGCTGACATCAAAGGGCACAGGACCACTGGTCTTGTGCTGGACAGGTTTGCTGGGGTCTGGCTTGGTCTCAGAACTTCCTGGCTGACAGGGGAAGAGAAAGTTGTAGGAGAGCAGCCGAGTCAGGGGGCTCTAGTCCAGCATCCCTGGTCTGCCTGCTGCAGCCAGGGGACGTGGAATCTTCTTGCTACCCCGTGTCTGTTGCTTGCTCTGCATGGTCCTTTTGGTTCAGACTAAAGCAAAGGCTTGGCCTAGAATTCACCCGAATCCCTTCTGTCTTTGGATGGGGCAAGACTTGGTACCAACGCAAACAGTCTTACAGCTCCATCTCAACTCTCCCTACCTTAAACCAAATACCCTACCCACTAAGGGAATGATTTTTATGATACTGACAGACCACTTTTGAGGTGGTAAAAAAAACGGGTAAAAAGGCAGAGTTTTGCAAAATGGGGTTTTCTGTCTTTCGCGTAAGGAGCCGGCACCAGCCAGGACAGGCTCCCTCTCTTGCCTGTGTTTCCAGGATTTGGATCCGCGTAATAAAAGACAAGAGTCCAATTAAAGTAGTAAGAGCAATTTTCCTGGAGAGGTTTTTTTCCTTGTTCCATTATTTGTAATGTGTTTTTTACTCTCATTTTTCTTCTCTGCATAATGAAGCTGTCTAGTGTAGTGGCTAAAAATATAGACTCTTGTCAGCCTGAGTTCAGATCCTGGCTCTATTTATTAGCTCTGCGACCTTGTGTGAGTTATCCTACGTGCCTGTGCCATAGGTTCCTCATTTGTAAAATGGAGATGGTAAAAGCACCTTCCTTACAGGATTGTTGTAAAGTCTACATGAGATGATATGTACATGCCTGGCACATAGTAGGTGCTCCATAAGTGCTAGTTATTATTTGTTAATAAATTATGAAATTTAGTAATCCATCTCATAGCATGAGCCTTTGGAATATATCAATTACAGAATTGCAACACTGTAATGAGGTGTATTTCTTAACTTTTCAAACAAATGACTTTTATAAGCATACAAGGGGATAGGGTGGAGGAGTTGAAAGATTTGCCCTAGAAGAGATTATAATGGAGACCTTGAAGAGTGAAACAAAAGCAAATTAATATTTAAAAAACAAAACAAAACAAAAAGCTGCTCCTTAAAGTATTTTTTTAAAAAGATTTTATTGAGGCATTGGGGAAGGGGAATATTGTGTTTTTCTAGGACCCATCCGCTCCAAGTCAAGTTGTTGTCCTTCAGTCTTAGTTGTGGAGGGCGCAAGCTCAGCTCCAAGGCCAGTCGCCGCTTTCAATCTAGTTGTGGGTTGGGGGAGAGAGAAAGAGAGAGACACACACACACACAGCCCAGCCCACCATCCCATGCGGGAGTCCAACTGGCAGCCTTGTTGTTCAGAGCACGCACTCTCACCAGCTGAGCCATCCTGCCACCTATCGGGGGTGGCAACTCAGCAGCAGCTCAGCTGGCCCATGTGAGTATCAAACCGACAACCCTGTTGCTCAGAGCACTCTTAACCAGCTTGTCACCTGGCCGGCCCCTCCTTAAAGTATTGATAGCACTAATATTGACTGAGCTCCATACGTCTATTTGCCAGTGAAACAGAG